GTATTTAATATTGTGGTTAGCTATTGTGCAGGGTACTGTTTTTCTTAGCTCCAGTTCTATATTCTCTCTGTCACTGTACAGAAATCCAATTGATGTTTTTTATGTTAATCTTGTATCTTGCCACTTTGCTGAATTGGTCAACTATGTCCAGTAGTTTTCTTACTGAATCTTTAGAGTTTTCTAAGTATACTATCATACCATCTACATATAGAGATAATTTTACCTCTTCTTTGCCAATTTGGATATCTCATATTTCCTTTTCTTATTGCTATCGCTAAGACTTCTAATACAGTACTGAATAGGAGAGGTGATAGTGGACATCCTTGCCATCCTTGCTTAGTTCCTGTTCTCAAAGGAATGCTTTTAACCTTTCTCCATTGAGAACAACATTGGCTCTCGGATTTCCACCCACACCTCACACCATACACAAAAACCAACTCAAGTGGATCAAGGACCTATAACTAAAACCAAAGACTATAAACTTCATTAGAGAAAAGCTTGGAAGAACCCTAGAAGAACTAATCCACAACAGGAACAGTCTTCCAAGCATCCTGAAAAACCTACAACCAGGAGAAGATAAAATAGATGAATGGGACCTTCTAAGAATTAAATCCCTGTGCACATCCAAAAACTTCTTCAACAGGGTAAAAAGGGAAGCCACAGACTGAGAATAACTATTTTGTAATGACATTTCTGATAAGGGACTTATATCTAGAATTTGTAGAATACTCAAGCTCCACAACAAGATAAACAACCCAATTGCAAAATGGGCACAGGATATGAACAGACACTTCACCAAAGACGACATTCGGATGGCGAACAAACACATGAATCAGTGTTCAAAACCCCTAGCTCTAAGAGAGTTCTCTATGAACTTAGAGAAACGATGAAAGTTATACAAGTGTTCAGGTCTTTCTTTCATAGTCACTATGACTTATCTACAACTTGATGACGCTTATCAACAACAAGAAGAAGAGAGATGCAAATCGAAACAACTATGAGATATCATCTCACCCCAGTAAGAATAGCAAAATTCAACAGAGCAACAAACAACAGATGCGGGCAAACTGGAATTCTTATTCACTATTGGTGGGAATGTGAAATGGTGCAAGCACTATGGAAGGCAGTATGGTGCTTGCTCAAAAAGTTGGAAATATAAATACCATTTGACCCAGCAATTCCATTACTAGTAATATACCCTGAAGAAACCATAACTGTCACCCAAGCAGATATATGCACACCCATGTTTATTGCTGCTTTGTTACTACTAGTAGCAAAGAGTTGGAAACCACCCAGTTTCCTATTAACAAACAAATGGATAGAGAAGCTGTGGTATATTCATACAATGGAATATTATACAACACTGAAAAAGAACTCATGAAATATTATACAAAATTGGTGACGATGGAGGACATTATGCTGAGTGAAATATCTCGGTCACAAAAAGACAAATACTGCGTGCTGCCACTGTTACAGAACAGGACTGATAGGAGGTTGGGGGAAAACTAAGAAAAGAGGGTATAAATAACGTACATGGCGCTGAAACAGACCAGGGAGAGAACTATATAAAAGGAATTTATGAATAGATATTATTGGTGACAAGAGTCTAGAATAAAAGCAGCATAGTAAAGTGTGGAGGGACTGTATAACAATGAAAGAATTTTCTTCCAAAGAAAAAAAGCAAACTGGGGGGAGGGGGGAAAGGGAGGAAAATGTGCAACAATGAATGAAATCTAAGTTCTTTATAACCTTACAATAAAATTTCAATTCTTTTTTAAAAACGTGCTGGAGGTTCAGCTATGGATAGGTTCCAACTCTACGGTACACCACAACAACAATGCCTATACGTACTAATGCTTATGGGGAAAAAATAAAACTGATAAGGTGATGTGGAATGAGCACAGGAGTGTAAAGGGAGTCTGCCTTAGATGACTTATCTGGGAAAGGCCTCACTCCCCTCAGAGGAACCTAAACCCATTGCTGTAGAGTCACTTCTCACTCCTAACAGCTCTAGAGGACAGAGACTTCCACAGAGTTTACAAAGCTTTACATTTTAAAGGGGAAGACTACTATATTTTCCTCCCACAGAGCAATTGATCTGTTTGAACGTCTAACCTTTGGTTTAGCAGTTAAGCTTTCAGCCACTGTGACACCCAAGTCTCCCTCACTCACTAACTCATTGTATTCCAATAGAATCTGATGTTATCTTCACCATATTTCCAGGGTTGTAAAGCTCAGTGGGCAGAAGCTGCATATCTTTCTCCCATGAAGCTACTGGTGGATTCAGACTTCCAGAGAACAGCCTTTTGGTTAGCAGTACAACTCTCTACATACTATGCGACCAGCGTTCCCTAAGGTCTACACTACACTTGCGCGCGCGCACACACACACCATTGTCGTCTGATTGAAGGAACCATAGCTGGCCCTCCTTTGGTTTGGGTGGTGGTGTTACTAGGTGTCATCAAATCAAGTATGACTCATAGTGACCCTATGAACAGCTGACCTGAACCCTGCCCTATCCTGTGCCATCCTCATCATCTCTGACAGCTTAGTGTCCATTGTTAAAGTCACCATGTCAGTCCTTCTCATTGGAGGTGTTCCTCACCTTTGCTGGCAATTGCTATCTTCTTCCTAACGGCTACTGATGAATTTGAACCTCCAGGAAGCCCAGCACAGTTCTCTAAAGACCATGTCACCAGACCAATCTCCTTTAAGATCCCAGAAGACAGCGATATTTAATGTGGAGACATGAAGATGACAAGGTAGTCATGCAGAGCTCCGTAGGTGAAGGATCTTTAGGAGAGGGGACATTCATTGCACATGTGCTTTTCTGTTGGAGGAACAGATAGAAATGGCATTGATTAGTGGGAATGTGATCTCAGTGAGGAAGACTGTTGGATCAAACACGCAGGGTGAAGGTTGGTCACAGAAAGGAACTTGATATTTTGTTCTTAACACCCTGGAAAAGTACTGGATAATTTAAGTAAAGGAATCCTGTAATCATATACAAGTTTTAGAAAAATCATTACCACTACCCATGGAAGCAAAGGATGAGTGGGAAGACTAAGTGTTCCCCTAGTCAGACAGTAACAAGGTTGTCATAAGGGGCTGAGAACGGGAAGAGTAGAATCAAGGATGGTAGTCCACAGAGTTGATGCTGGCTAGATTAGTACTAGATCAGAGCAAGAGATGCTGGTTAGATACAGGCTATCTTCTGTAATTAAAGCTGAATAGTTTCTTAAGCTAAGGTAAATGTGCCAATTAATTCTCTGTCAGTTCAACTATATTCTCCCAGTAGTTCTTTTGTGGTAATTATTGCCACAGCAGTTCGCACATCATCTCACATATCTGTATATAAGGGAAACAAGAAATAAGCCCCTAAATAGTCAAAATAAATGTGATGAATCAGTGCGCTTCTCAAGGTGAGCTCCTCAGAATCTTAAGTTTCTTATTAAAACATAGTTCTGAATAGCTTAAATATCTGTGCCTAGCAGAAAGGGGACATCAGCATAAAGGAGAGAGGGATAGCTTTATATGGGAGGCTTTGTGATGCAAGTGGATATACTCTCCCTGTAAGAGTTCACGAAATGTAAGACTTCAGAAAGGATTGAAATGCAATCATAAGACTCTAAGGAGTATTTCTTCTTAACTGTTTTATTCACAGGTAATGAAGATAGAAAAGAGTGAATGTCATTGTAGCATGTTCTGTCTACAGAATTGTTAAATCTCAAAAACACAAAGTTCAAATCCACCAGCTCTATGGGAGAAGAATGGGAAATCACCTCCCATGCAATTACTGCCTTTGAAAACCCATTGGAGGGTCAGTTCTAATTTGACAGTATACAACAACAACAACACTAGATATTAGTACTAAATACTAGATTCCAGTTTTAAAATGTGTAAATGATGTGGTTCAAAATCAGGAAAGGTGTATTCAGGGATGCATTCTATCTCCATATCTGTTCAATCTATATGCAGAAGAGATCCTTGGAAGGTTGGGCTCTATGAGGAGGAATGTGGCAGCAGGATTAGAGGAGGACTCATTAAAAATCTGCATGATGCAGATGATACAACATTGCTTGACAAAACTGAGAAGGACCTGAGGAATTTCCTGCAAAAGGTCAAGGAATGCAGCCTTCAATATGGATTGAAGCTCAGCATCAAGAAAACAAAGATTCTCACCACTGGGCCAATTTACAGCATCATGTTAGATGGTGAAGAGATTGAGATTGTTAACAGCTTGTGTGGCTCACAGTCAACACTCCTGGTAGCAGCAGCCAGGAAGTCAATAGACAATTGCATTGGAAAAATCCTCTCAATGCAGTTAGTCTTTTAATTTCCTGACTGCTGGTGTGGAGAGTGTTGAGTTGTTAACAGTCTTTGCAATTACTTGCTATGCATCAGAGAGCAGGACAATGACTAAGAATAACAGGAGAATCAATGCCTTTGAATTGAGCTGCTAGAGAAGAGCATGGAACATTTCCTGGACCACAAATAGAAGACACAGATTTGTCCTGGAGAGGTGAAACCAAGTTACTTCTTAAAGGCAAGGATTTTGAAGCTCCATCTCATGTACTTTGAGCTTGTTGCCAAGAGGGCCCAGTCCTTGGAGAGTGACCTCATGCTTGGAATGATGGAGGGACAGGGCAGGAGAGGAAGACTTTCAATGAGAATTGACATGGTAACTGAGATAATACGGTTAGGTGTGTTGGAGATAGTGATACTGGCTCAGGATAGGGCAGGGTTACGAGTTGTTCTGCACTGGGTTGTTAGGAGCCACAAGCGACTCAACGACCCCTAACAACAACATGAAAGGTAAATAGATGGGTGGTTGGTTCATTGGTCTTTATATTGTGCAGTTACCGTTGTTTCAAAGCCTAATACATTAAGTTGAGAAAGTCTAAGTATGCCATAAACTAATTGCTGATCATTCCCTGTTTCAAGAGGTTATCCCAAGTTCATAGTATCTAGTCAAAATTTCTTTTCCTTTTCATTTTCAGGAAAGCCGCTAGTGAAAACATCACGATTGACTATCATCAACACAGAGGAGCCTACAATCACAGCTGACATAGGAAGCACCATCCAAACAGTGCAAGGAGTAAATGTCACCATTAACTGCCAAGTTGCAGGTGAGAAATTCATTCATTTACTTATTCATTAGTTTTGCTATTAATGGATCCCTGTCTTAAGTAAGCAAATTAAAAAGAAAAATCAGGCACAAGATCTATTCTGTTTCCATGATAAAAAATGAGGCATAAACTTCGGTCACTCTGAAAATGGAAAATGCTAAAAGTTTGAGAAAGATTAATTCTTACTGGGACAGATGAGGTAGAAGTGTTTATGTCTTTCTTGCATATTGACAGAGTGAATATGTAAAGATAGGGATAAAGAGTATTAAAAGTGAACCAAAAAGAGTGAGACAATTCTGGCATAGGACAGCCTCGAGGATATACAGAGAATGGTGTTTTATTCTGGGGTAAGTCAAGAGTTAGTGCAAAGGAGTGGAAGGTCTTAACGTTATCAAGGTGGCTTGCATATGGCTCTTGGGGAGACTTTGTCTGCCTAACCACAGAGTTCAGATAAAAGCGGGTGGAGGGTGAAGTAGTTGTGTACCGTCACGTCAGAACCAACCCATAGCTTACCTTCCAGTGGGTTTTCAGAGGCAGTTAATCGCATGGGAGAGTTCTCATCTTTCATCTGTGGAGCAGGATTTGAACTGTGTGCCCCCAGGATTGTAGCGCAGCTTCTTGCCATCAGGCCATCCACCAGAGCTCCCCGAAAGGAAGTTAAGGAACCACATTTCTAGATGCTTAAGCCACTGGCAGTGTAAAACTATGTGTATAAAAACTCTAGGGGTGGATCGCAGAGCTTCTGTGATCAGTGAAGATATAATTTGGGAATGAATCAGGGTGTGGGATGACAGCATGAGGAACATAATTAGCATCACTGAGCTATGCACGTGAAGGTTGTTGAGATGAAGACAAGCAAACGAGCGTGCACACGCGCAGGCGCATTAGCGAGATCTCTGGTGGCACAATCTGCACACGGTTGTGCTGCAGACCCAGAAGTGACACCTCTCTGGAGGTTCAGATCTACCAGCTGCCTCATCTTCTTGAGGATGGAGCTCGATAGGAAGCCAGTAATGAAGAAGGAAAGGTGGCACCGTGAGGGCATTGGACATTGGAAGGAGATTGAGAGACCAGAGTTCCGTGAGGCATGTCTTTAACAGGGAGGATCTGAGACATTAAAACATCTTTGACCAGTTCCTCTACATTGCTTGAAGCCCTATCTCCAGACTTCATTCTTGGCAACCTTAAATGAAACTCTGAGCTATGGTTCGTTTTTGTCTGGTCATGATGATAACATTCTTTACTTTTTACCCATAGAACAATTTTCACTACTTATGTTTAAGGATGGGGGGTGCAAGACTGTCACAAAACCCACCCAGCTTCATGTATCTGTCATGATGCCTTTTGTTAAACAGGTATTTAGTTGAAGCTGGTGGTGAAGAGACTGCTTTTGATTATACAGTTAGTCTGTGAATTTGCTGGACAAGTAAATTGTCGTTGAACTGAGTCCCCAGTCAACGGTAATACTAAATGGCACAAGAACTACTTTTACTTCTCGGCTACAATAGCTCTGTGGCTTTCTCCTCACTGTTTGTATACTCCACCCTGTCTGTAGTCAGAGGGCTTAGTGACCTTCTGACTAAACCAATCACTGTCAGATTCATTCCACCTCATGGCATTCAGTCCATATGTTCTAAAGTGGAGCTGTGTTGTGTAGCATTCTCGGCGGCTGTGGCCTTTCTTACAAAGTAGCTGTAAATGGGATTGAAAGCACTAACCTTATGGTTACCTTAAACCAACATTTATTTGCATCATGTATGGATGTCTAAGTCTCTTATTAGTTGAATGGAACTCTCTAAGCTCTAATAACATTGCATATGGCCTATAATGAACAAGCTTGAGAGTTAGTGACATTGGCTCTATTAATAAGAAAGGACTCCATAGTGTGCCCCTAGTTACAGAAGGATTTCAGATCAAATTAATTCTGCCCATTCATTTGGCTTGTTGTTGTTGTTGTTGTTGTTATGTGCCGTCGAGTCATTTGTGACTCATAGCAACCCTGTGTACAACAGCCCTAAACCCCGCTCTATCCTGTGCCAATCACATTGCCTCTGACACACCCATCCCGATTTCCCCAGTCACCGAATCAGTCCACCTCATAGAGGGTCTTCCGCTCCTGCACTGTCCCTCTACTCTACCCAGCATGATGTCCCTCTCCAAAGACCTGTCTCTTCTTGCAACATGTCCAAAGTATGTCAAACGAAGCCCCAGAATCTTTGCCTCCAAGGAGTAGCCTGGTTTAACCCTCTCTAGGATGAATCTGTTTGTTTTCTTGGCAGTCCACGGTACATTCAAAACTCTTCTCCAGCACCACAGCTCAAAGGCGTCAATTCTCCTTCTGCCCTCCCTAGTCATTGTCCAACTCTCTGATGCATAACAAGTGATTGCAAAGACAATGGCCTGTATCAGGCGCACCTTCGTCTCCAAAGAGACTCCATTGCTCTTGAGTACTTTAGAGAGGTCCCTAACAGCAGACTTTCCCATCGCAATACATTTTTTTATTTCCTGGCTGCTGGTGCCAAGAGTGTTGACTGTGGAGCTGAGCAAACTGAAGCTGTGAACAATCTCAATCTCTTCGCCATCCATCCTGATGCTGCCAATTGGTCCAGTGGTGAGAATCTTTGTCTTCTTGACATTGAGCCTCAGTCCATACTGAAGGCTGCAGTCCTTGACCCTCTGCAGTAAGTGCATGAGGTCCTCCTCAGTTTCAGCGAGGAAGGTTGTGTCATCTGCATAAAGCAGATTGTTGATAGATCTTCGACCAATCCTAATGCCACCCGTCTCCTCATAGAGCCCAGCCTCTCGGATAATCTGCTCTGCATACAGGTTGAAAAAGTATGGAGGTAGGACACATCCCTGGCGCACACCCTTCCCAATTTTGAACCATTCAGTGTTGTGCTGCTCTGTTCTGACGACTGCCTCTTGGTCCAAGTATAGGTTTCGCATTAGCACGATTAAATAAAATGGGTAAAAAGCTGCTTTCAAAAAGCTTACAGATCCAGTCATATAAAAAATTAAACATACTTCCTAGAGATGAGAAGAGAAGGAAAAGGGAGCAGAAAAATCAATAAATATATATGTCTAGTGAAAGGAAAGGTGGTATACAGTAAAGGACAGATCAGACATTGTCATTCATTAATTTTATTGATCAAGTGTAATTAATGTTCTAAAACAAAATGTATATGAATTCTTGAATGAAAAAACCATATGATTTATAAACTTTGACTCAAAAAATTAGCTTTAAAGTATATACTTAATTATAATACAGTGTGATGCACAGATACAGTTGTTGACTTGTCACTATAGAATACATATTGGTCTTTGGTTCTCCGCCACCTTTGCTGCTGTTGCTATCACAGCTGCTGTCTGGGTTGTTGTGTCTTGGTCTCTATCTGTCTCATGCAGGAATCTAGCCCAAAGGACTTACTGAAGTCTTTTTAGTCTTCCTTGATTGCAGTGAGATCCCCATTTTCTGCCTCTAAATCTGCTCACTTAAGCCTAGCAGGATGGAAAAACTGACCTAGCCCTACACTCAGTCTTCACATTTTATTTTCATTGTCACACTCAAAAAGTGCTACAAAAATTATGTTGTTATCAAACTATCCAGTCTCTTTGGTAGGACACAAACACCTAACGTTTGCATAGCCCTACCCAGTTGTGCTTCAGGCTTTCTCCATACCTATTCAATCTATGCTGAACCAATCATTCAAGAAGCTGGACTTTATGAAGAAGAATTTGACATCAGGATTGGAGGAAGACTCATCAGTAAGCTGCAGGTGGCACAGCCTTGCTGGCTGAAAATGAGAACTAGAGGCACTTGCTGCAAAAGAGCAAGAACTATATATAGCCTTCAACATAGATTACATTTCAACATCAAGAAACAAAACTCCTCACCAGTGGGCCAACAGGCAACATCATTATTATATGGAGAAAAAATTATATTGTCAGTGATTTAACCTTGGATCCACAGTCAACATCCTTGGTACCAGCAGTTGGAAGATGAGGTGATATATAGCTTTAGAGGACCCTGCTCTCAGGGACATCTCCAAAGTCTGAAGAGCAGTGATACGAATTTGAAGAATAAAGGGCACCTGATTCAAGCCATAGTCTTTCTAATCACCTGCTGTACATCTGAGAGCTAAACAGTGAATAAGGGTGATAGAGGAGGAATCGAAGCCTTTGCATTGTGATGCTGGAGAAGGGTACTGAATGTCCCATGGACTGCCAGAAGAACAGATAGATATGTCTTGGGAAAAGTCTAGCCAGAGTGCTCCTTAACGGCAGGGATGGTGAAGGTTTTCCTCACATAACTTTGGGCATGTTGTTTGGAGAGGCTGTTACTTGGAGGGGGACTTCTTACTTGGAAAGATGGAGGGTCAGTGAAGGACAGAGAGACCTTCAGTGAGATGAGTTGGCAGAATGACTGCAGCAGTAGGCTCAAGCACGGTGACAGCGCAGGATAGGACAGGGTTCCTATCTATTGTTGACAGGATTGCTGTGAGTTGTACTCGATTCAGTCACACGTAACAACAGCCCTGCCATGTTTTCTACATCCAAAATAGGTAGAAAAGCCGTATTGAAGAATCTACGGGAGCACAACTGCTTATATTCCCTTTTCTCTATAGGATCACTCACAAGTCCTACATACCAAGAAATGTAGCTTAACTGGGTACTCAGGAAAAATTTTGTGAACAACTATCAACATCTTCTCACAGTCTGTATAGAGAAATGTAGGTAAAATCCAGAGCCATTTAGAAAAATTGCCAAGGCTGACATTTTAGCGACTGTATATGATCTCTTTTTCTGTACCAAACCGTCATCCATTGCCCTACCTGAGAGGCTCGTAACGGCGAAGTGCACTTTTCACTAAACTCCTATGCAGTAGATGTTGACCAGCTACCATGGTGTAGACAGTTTGCAAATATAACACGGGATCCAGTTAATAAGCGTATCTTGTTTGGGATTAACAAGTAATATATCAGCATTCTCCCTGGGAGCTC